GGGGTTTTGGGGGGCGCGCCCCACCCCCAGGGGCGCCCTCTCCCCCCCCCCCCTTCCCCCATCCCGGAGGGCAGGGGAAGGCTCTGTTCCATGCTGGGGGGGAACTCTTTCCCCCACTCCTCCTCCTCCCTCCGCACTTGCAGAGGGGAAGCCCTGCTCTGGACTCTAGGGAAGCAGGAGGCAGGGCTCCCTCCACTCCTGGCAGAGTGCAGGGACGTGCATATGAGGGAGCAGGGGAAGCAGCTGGATCCAGTGCAGGGCTTCTCCTATTGCGCATGCTGGAACTGCAGGCTCAGGGAGTAGAGCCCTGGAGATAAGGCAGGCTCCGCTCCCTCCCCTAGCGTAGTGCTGGCCAGAGCTGTGCCTGTGTTGCTGCCTGATGTTGCTGCCAGGCAGAGGGGCCTGCACGCCAGGGGGGGAGTGTGTGGGAAGCCTCACACTCGCTCACATCCCACGCACCCACACCCTGCCCAGCTGAGCTCCATGCTCCTGCTGCCCTTCCAGGGGGAGGCAAAGGAGGGGAAGAGTTCCCCCCAGCATGGAACAGGACCTCCCCCTGCCCCACTTACCCCTGTTTTGGGGCCAGGCAGCATCACATGAAGCACCCCCGCAGTGGTGGGGGGAAGGGGAGGAGGAGGAAGAGTCCCCATCCAGCACCTCACAGAGTCCCCCTCCCACCCTGGGAGGAGAGGGAGGGGGAAGAGTTCCCCCCCAGCATTGTACAGAGCCCCCCTCCCCCCCCTGCAGGACAACCAACACAGCATGGCCCTGTTAAGGTGAAGGGGGCAGGGAGAAGAGTTAATTCCTCCGTCCCTTCCCTGAAGCCATGGTTTGCGAGGTCCAGGGGCCACCGCTGCAGCCCCCTCCCCTCTTCTCTCCAGCCGACAGGCTGACCCTGGCTGTTTGCGGTGTGGGAAGAGAGGAAAGAAGTAAGAATTAATTCCCTCCCTGCCCATTTTGCCTTTACAATGCTGTGGTGGCTGGTGTCTGTGCCAGGGCTGGTCCCTGCTCTGGCTAGAGAGCAAAGCGGCAGGGTCAGCCCTGCGGCTCAAATAGAGACCCGCCCAGCCCATGCTGGGGGAGTCTGGTTTATCTTAAACCAGCAAGGGGTCTGAGACAGACATCGCATAAACCGGTTTGAGCCAAATCAGTTAAGTCTGATAAACTTGGTTGAATGTAGTATCTCAAACCGGTTTTGGCTATTTTGAAAATGGCTTATGTGCACCAAATGTCTGTTCTGTTACAGGTTTAAACCAGTTTCTGATCACTTAAACCGGTTTATGTGTAATGTCTGTCCCTAGCCATAGTGTGTGAAGATGGACTGGAGCATAATCCTGTTGCTCTACAAGCCCATTCATATAAATACTATAGTTTAGAATTGGCCAGAAGACCAAGAAGGAGGATGTAGTGTGGGAGAGGAGTTTGCAAGACAGTAAGTGATACAAACAGGTGCTTTGAGGAAGCTGATGTCAGTGGCATTAACTATGGTGACAAAAGAGGGAAGAATTAGGGGAGAAGCTGTGTCATGTCTGTTGGATATTAAGATATTTTGTGGATGGAAATGGCAGATGTGGGAGTATGCTTTAAAGGTGTTTTGGAGAGTTTTGGTATAGTAAGGAAACAGGAAAAGGAAAGATTGAAGCTTTCAATGAGGAGGGAGAGAAGAGAGACTATATGCTGGCTATGGGCAAGATAGACTGTCAGTAAGTATTTTTTTTTTTTTTGTAGCAGTAGGGTTGGAAATTTTTTGTCAGTGGTCCAGAAGGCAAGGATTTTTTTGTGATGTCTTTTATTGGATCTGTATAGTTGGGAGAGTAAGCTTCCAGGCATCCAATGCTCTTCCTCATGCATGGTCTTCTTCTACAAGGACATAAACTGATTTTTGTGGTATAGACAAAATACACATCAATTTTTGCTTCCTAATCTTAATTCACATAAATCCCAATAAATATTCTGTGAATAATCTTTTTCCTTTTTCCCTGCTGCTGTAACAATACCTTTGTTTAAATTGTCCAAAACAAACAAACAAACCAAACCACAAAATAAGCACAAAAAAAAGCAGTTTGGAACACTGTTATCAACTTTTCCTAGAAAAGTGAACTATGGAAAATGTCATGTTGTCATTATGCATTCCTGAATTCAGAAGAACATTCTGTAGCATGGAGGACATGTGAATACACATAAGAGTGTTTACTTTAGATGCCTTGCATCTCATTGCAGGCGCCATGTGATTTAGCAGTTGCCATGGTAACAATACTTTTTTTCATTTCATAACTTGCATAAATACTCCAATTTCATTTGTTATAATTGTTCCCTTATTTGAAGTTGTACACAATTCTGCTATGTAAAGAAAGCAAAACCTAGAGAAGAGAAGAGATGCTGGCACTTATTTTGTAAAAGGTTTCAGTGTGTACTTAATTAAGAAATAGATACTGCCTCTGGTTAAAACAAGAGAGAACTCCCTGAAATTAGGTTGATTCTAATTATTTTAAAGCTTATAACAAAAAATGGAAAGCATCATTGTATAGCATGATGGATTTGGTGTACTGTATGGTACTTTGTAATTTTAATTGTATTTTAATTACTTTATTATTATATTTGCCATAGTTTTCTTTGTTTTCCTTCACATCTTTATTTTCCTTCCAGGCTTTCTTTCTTTATTTTTTCTGGTTTTGTTACATGTGGCTGGCCACATGCTCACTTGTGAAATAGGGGTGAGAAATGACCAGTAATTGTTTGTGTGTGTGTGTACATGAGGACAGTGTGATGGAGAAGAAAATTCTGTACATACCTTTGTCTTCCTTTCATTAAGGTGATAAATCACTCATTGAAACTATAAGCATTTTTCCCATGTAAAAAGGCAGGATTAGGTCTCTAGGCAGTGGTGACCGAATCATTTCCCCCCCTAAAAGTTCCATTTTCAATTTCTTTGACAGACTTACTTCATGCTCTGTACCCCTCTCTGCTGAGGATGTTTATATTAGTGGCTTATCTATTTTTGAGTGTTTCATATGCATTAATTAATAGGAAAACATCAATAAAAAAGATTTCAGGGAGTTGTTGTAGGGAGTTAAATTTAGGAGCTGTAACCAAGAAAATGATATTTAGCATTACCAGTACTGTTCTTTAAAGAAATTATAATATCATATCTAGGTTTTTTTTAATTAAAATATTTCCTAGAACAACCATAGAAAATTACTTAAACCCCAATTTATGATTTCTACTGTTTGCACTTCAATTTAATTAGAAGTTGAAAAACCTGATTTTATTTTAAACATTAGATTAGCATTTGGTTAACATTTCCATTCACCTACACAACATTTTCACTCTTTCTGGTGGTGACTTCTATAATGTCTTTCCCACTAAATCTCAGTGCATTTGAGGTACATACTTATGGTGACAGTGGAGTGAGCCAGAGCTTTATATAGTATTTTCATTTTTAGAACTAAATGTTTCACAAGACCAGATTCTGATGTAGGCGTTTCAGTACACAGCAATCTTTAAAAATCAGCTGCTTGCCATGGGCAAAGATACTTGAAAAACAAATTGCTAGGGAGCAATCATTTTGATTGTCTACATTTGGAAACCTTAAAGTGTATATCCCCATTTACCACATTTATGTACTTTATTTACTTTCTACCAGAATGACTGGCAACAGTGAAAATGAAACTTGATTCACAATACCAAACTTTTTGCAGTTAAACCATACTTAAGCCATTGTTAAGATATCATTATTACTGTCATCACACTGGCTTCATTAACACATACCTTTCTCTGAGGTGAAGGTGGAAAAAAAGAAACGGTTGTGTGCACTTGCTTTAGAAGTTTGTTCAGTGTCCCAAATTATGTTGATAGGTAAGTAGGTAAACACATCTGGTAGCTTTCATCTTCCTATAAATATCCTCTGGGAGACCTTATGCCTCATTTAAGTGCTTTTTTAAATTGTGCATAGGGCTTTGTGTAGGATGCCTTTCCTAAGGTCAGGTTTACCCTACGTTAATAAATTAGACAAATTAAAGCCACTGTCATCTACAGCGGTTTCCATTCTTGTGTGAATGGTGGCTGTAGGCTGGGATAAAAGCCAGACTACTTCAGTATGGAATGCAGAATCATTATTTATCTGATTCCCCCGAAGCTCCGATCATTTCTGTAATTCCATTGTTTTACGATCTGTTTTGTATTTTCCTCTCAAGTATGCCCGTATATATGCGGTGAACAGTTGTCAGATTTCTTTTTCTATAAAGAGCCTCTCTAAATAGCATAAAATAATAATAAATTGTCTGAGACCCAGAGTATTTGAGGTAAAACTTCTAGTCTTTTCAAATTACTTTCCTCATCTCATACTCAGAATTATGTAGCCCCAGTTATCAGAGTAGTGTGTTTTCCTTGCTCTCTGTACTGAAAGCAGGGCCTGTTCCAAAGTCTCATGAAATCAGTGAGAGGCTTTTTATTCAATGGGTTTATATTGGACCCCTAGCCACTATGGGATCATCTAAAGTGGAATGAAGTTCTGTTCCCCAGAAAATTTTGCCTTTCCAAAAAGTTTTTCCTTCGGACTAGGGAAAAAAGGTGTAAGTGCAGTATTTTCCAAAAAGACAGAAACTTAATATTCATTCTGAATCTAGGTTCCTTGGTTCTGTGGCACTCTGCTTAGGAGGTGGGGCTTCTGGTCTTTCAGCAGCTCCAAGGCCAGATAGGCTGTACATGATAGCCTGGGGTCTGTGGCTAGCATCCTTCCATGTGAGCAGTGGGAGCCTGGCTTTTGTTGAAATTGGTGCATTCTGGAAGCATTCTGGGTTCAGTGAAGTGGAATTCTGAAATGGAAAAATGTTTCCATTGGCAATATCTTGACCAGCTTTACTCATCAGCACAGTAACTGAGTGAAGGGAAGAGCCAGTTTACAGAAGAATAAAGCAGCAGCCCCTTTGAATTTTAATCTATCCTACATATCTCATACTTTCATATCCCAGCACCGTAACAGAACTATATACCAGGCACTAGCTGATAAAGAACAGCTTAAACATTGCTCTAATTTCTGTTCTCCCTCTGCATGCAAAGATCAGCTTTTCCATCTTTTTAGTAAGGTTAAGAAGTAAGAATCTCCTTGGTTGTCCTTGCTAAAGTGGTAGCAAATTGTCAAGCTATCTGACTGAGCCTACTAATAACTTTTAAGTGCATGTGTGTGAAGGGAGACAGGAAGAAAATGCTTAGTCTCCTGTTTCCTTAAAAAGCTGTTATTCATCATCCAACAAAGAGTTGTTTGGTGTTAGCGTTGTGATACTAATTAATATAAGTGCATGGGTGGATCCAGGATTTTGGAAAGTGGGCTACAGGAACCTGTGCTCCACAAGTAGCTGACTTCCAGCCTCCCCCTCCCCACACCAGGTCAGGCAGACCGCACTACAGGAGCAACAGTAGGGGATATTTTTTTTAAGTTCCTCAAGCAGGTAAAAATCTCTTCCCCACCCACTTTCCCTTGGTACTCAGCAGCATTACCCCCTCCCCTGTCCATAGCTACTGCTGTCCTCAGATGTCCCAAGGAGAGCAGGCGGAGGGAGCTCAAGAGCTGCTCTGGCCCTGCTGCAGCCAGGTTGCATGTGAAGCCAAACTAGCCAGAGACAGCAGCAATGGGGAAGGAAAGGGGTTGTGCCACTGAGATCAGAGGGGAAGGGAGGAAGGATCCTGACTTGCTTTGGGGGCTTACAGAAAAGGTGTCCAGCTGCTGCTCCCCTGGTGTGGTCGACTGATAGGGGGATCAACTGACAGGGGGCCCTAAGGGGAACCACTGCATCCCCTCTGGATTCGCTCAGTATGAGTTTTTTTTTTTTTTAATTATTTTTTAGAATGCCTCTTCTCGTTACTAAGGGTCCCTCTCATTTATAGTCCAGGCTAGGAAAGTGCTTAAGCCTTGAGAGGTGGCTTTGTTGTCTTTCATTTACGGTGCCAAAGTGATGCTTGGAGCCCTGGATTCTGTTTATGACAGTGCTTGTCACTGACCTCCCGTGTCTCTCTCTTCTCTCTCCTTTTGTCTTTCTGGTCTATATGAACTCTAAAGGTCTGGGTAAATGAACAACCTACTATGAGATAAATGCAGAGGGAGGTTTATTATACATCAGCTGCTCTATAGCAGTTGCCAATACAGGCTGATACCCCACAGTAACTTAGTCCTCTTTTACTGATGTTCTGCAGAACCCTTATCGGACATATTTCCTCCTGGCACAACTAGTTTGCATGTGCCGCTTCTCCATGTTGGCAAATTTGTACAATAATCTCAGTAAAAGCAATGGGACTGCTTATGCTTAAAGCTTTTCACATGCATAAGCGTTTCCTGTACGAGGACCTAACAATACCATTCTGCTAACCTTTTTTAGATTGAGCAGTACTTTACTTCTGTGAGTAGTTCCAATGAGATGTCAGCCAGACTATTTCTTGAGTGTAATTAAGGATAGCATAAATGGTCCTATGCTCTGGGAGCATATGAAGAAGCCATTTGCCACATATAGGTTTGGAAGAATTCAATTTTTAAAATAATTTTGATGGCTAAAATTGATGTTTTATTTTTAAGCATTTGCTTAAATATTGATTTAAATTTTCAGGAGTATGCAAACTGGGGGTGTGTGGGGCAGACAATTTAATTTTTACAATATACTGTTAAAAGCTTTATAAAAATATAAAAAATAAATATGCATAAATCAATAAAGCATACCTGCTTTAAACATTCTGTTCATTCAGTTGTGCATTCATACTAGGCTTGATCTTTCCCTCTCACGGAGCGGAGTGTGGGGGCAGGGGCCAGGCTGGGCTCGGTGTGAGGTTTGGCACCCTGCCCCAAGCATGCAGGGGCCAGGCCAGGCTTGGCAGGAGTTTGGCGCCCAGTCCCCGGCTGGGACCTTGGCAGAGTTATTAGCTCAGTGGCTTCTGGTTTCCAGCTGCCAGCTGCCCTGCCCCACAGCAGTGAAACCCTGCAGCAGCATCTCCCCCATCCAGGTTTTGTCGCCAGCAACCAACATCCCCCTCCCAGCACAGCCCTCTCAGCGTGCTCCCCTGGTGCAGGACCCCAGCTCCTATAGTGGCTGCCTGAGCCACTGCCAAAGGAGCTGCCATGCGCAGTGGCCACCGTGTGTGTGTGTGAGAGAGAGAGAGAGAGAGAAATGCGCAGGCCCCCTATCCTGGATTTCCTTACCTAGTCCCAGATTTTTTTTCTTGCATCCCCTTCCTTAAAAAAAATATTGATTATTACTGATTGA